CAACACACACACACACACAGACACACACACACCACCTGACCGCCAGGGCCAATTGCGGCGCTGGCTGCGGACCCCGGATCAGGAAATGGAAGGGTGGCGAGCGCCGGAGGAGCCCAGGGCAGCAGCAGCCCAGCCATGGTTGGGGAGAGAGAGCCCACGCCAGCGCTGGCCAAACCCCTGCAGCCAGAGAGGGGAGCGAAATCCTAGGCGCATCCTAGTGTCCCTCGCACCAACCACCTCCCCAAAGCCGCAGCTCCGCTAGCTCCGCAAATGGGTGGCTGCCCGTGGACTCTTCAAAGAGTAGAACAAGCTTTTGCTCCGAGCCACGCGAGTTTGAGATGTGCTGCACTGCGATGGCTGCTTATTGTAGACAATCCCTGCAGCCAGAGAGGGGAGCGAAATCCTAGGCGCATCCTAGTGTCCCTCGCACCAACCACCTCCCCAAAGCCGCAGCTCCGCTAGCTCCGCAAATGGGTGGCTGCCCGTGGACTCTTCAAAGAGTAGAACAAGCTTTTGCTCCGAGCCACGCGAGTTTGAGATGTGCTGCACTGCGATGGCTGCTTATTGTAGACAATTATCCCTCCTCCTCCCCCTTTCTTAGAGAACCGAGAGAGAGAGAGACCCAAATTCCGCGCTAACGGGCGCTAATGCATCCTGGGCACAAATATTGTATTATTCTAGCATTTGGGGGGTTGAAAGGAGAAGAAGGAGAGGGGAGGAAAGATGATGGGGGCGGATCAACGAGAACCTAAAATGTATTGTCCAGAAGGAGAAATTGACATTGCCTAATAGGTTAACTACAATGACAATAGTTGAAATCTCTCCATTTCAAAATCACTAGATTTAGGAGTGGGGGCATGTCTCAGCGTGGAAACGAGACAGCTAGATCCTACGAAACCGAGGCCAACTAATTGCAAATCAGTGTTTGTTTCCCTAAGATCTGTCCCCAGAGCTTTTAAACGTTGTTATTTTATGATAGTTTGGTTATTTGAGAATCTTTTCTCCCTTTGCAGATTGCGAGCTGTGATAGCATATAATTAGTTTCGGAAGTTGGTACAAAAGGGCCAACTAGATTAGTTAGCGGTGCTGTGTGCATCATTAACGATACCGTTACAGAAGAAAGGGGGAAAACACACTGAAATAAAATAATTCCTATAAAATGAAAGGACTAACTGAGCATATTTCTCTCCGAGTGAAAACATTCCCCAAATTACAAGTTTACGTTTGGGTTTTTGTTTTGTTTTGTTTTGTTTTGCTTTGGGTTTGGTTTGGTTTGATTTTTTTATGATAGAAGAATTCACTGATATATTTCAGGATGCAGCCTACAATACTGAAACTAGAATGCTGAGTTCTATGCTGTACTATGACTTCTAAATTGCTAAAAATTAGCCTGCTAACAATATTTGCAGCTCAGGAAGGAAAAGAGGCAACCGCCTGACCTTAGGTAATTGAAATTTGATAGTTAAACTAATTACACAATTATTTAAAAATAATAAATTACTTCTTAATTCCATCTGCTGTTGTATGTTTGGAGTTAATACTGAACTTTTATTAGAATTTATTTTATACTTTGGCTGGTTGGTTGGTTGGTTTGTAGAAAAACGTATGCAAATATTTGCCACCCTCTTCAGGAGCGATGTTCCTGAATGGATAGTCTCACCTTGGAGAATAGGGAAATGCCTTAACTGAATATATAAAGCAAAAATTTTGGTATATTTTAGATTTTTCCTTATAGGTGTTACATAGTTGTTACCATGGCTTAAATTCATATTGTTATCTTTTGCAGTTTTATAGATAACATTATATAAATCTAAAATTATAATTTAAATATGTTAGGTCTCGCTACTTTCACAGGCATGCTTTATTGATGTATGTTATACACATAAATACACATATATTGCAGACCATCTGTTGTAGGTTAGAATATTTCCAATGTACTATGATACTTACCTAAACAATTACTCGTTTTTGCTAATATCAAGTGCCTAATTTGCAAAGAGAGTTAAAGCCCATTTACTTAATCATTTCCTACTGAATGTCTATGCCATTGTTTAACTGATGTGAAAGATACCTTCCTCTGTTTACTCTGTACGTAGAAGAAAATTCTACACACACTCCATAGGCGTCTAACATCCACAACTCTTGGGCAGAACACACTGTAGCTTTCACAGGAAGGACTAGATTGTTTGGTGACTTTTTTTTTCCGGCAAAACCCAAATAGCTATTAAAACAAGGAAGCTAATCCTTCCAGTGTGGCAAGAAGAGAAGATTGCTAGAGATCCCCAATACATTGTGTTCGGCACACGGCTATACATTCGTACACAGATCCATGCATACAAAAAAAAATACACGTAAGCGCGCATAGCTGCATTTAATTGGGTTTCCCTAAATATTATCCTCTTGATAGAAGGGAGCGCCTTAGTTAGGATGGCCAGAAACTACAGAAAACAACCGTGCTCCACAAACCTCCAAAACACAACGAAATCTGGTACCTTATTTTGTATGCTGAAGGTTGGATTCCGAGAGCTTCCCAGGTTCTGATTAATAATATGTACCGTGATTAGACTTCAAAGTATACTTGGTCAACTGTACTTCTTTCTACTGGGTAGCTCTGTTTCGGAGGAAACCAGAAAAGAACACAGTTCTGCAGGCGATTGGAAATCTACAAGGTGACCGCCGCTGCCCAGCCGAAGCCTGGTTTTCCTGTGCTTTTAGCCGTCTGGGAAGATGTGCTTATGCAGGATCGCCAAAGGCCTGTTCCTTGTCTTTGTGGTTTTGTTATCATAAACAAGAACCCAGCCAAGACCACCAAGTGTTATCTTACACACGGCCATTTCGACATTTTACTGCAAGATTTATGGACGTAATAAACAATCTCCGAACCATCCTGGGATATTTCCCTTTCCCCAACTTGTAGCACCAGTCCAGCTTTAAAAACAAGCAAGCGAGCAAACAATAAAACAAAAACATTCGAATTTTTTTATTTAAGAAATAAGACCATATTTTCACACGCTTCAACAATTACCACATGACCAAAAGTTTACCAGCTGAGTCTTGCCATAGCCGAGATTGGGAACGCACTGAACTGCAGTGAATAGTGCAATAGCACCAACAAGATCCAATTTCTGATCGTGCCCACAACGCGTGAAAAGAGTTCTCGTGGAACGCACATCTGCTGACTTCCATGCGCGCGGACAAATTAGTTTTACAACCGAAGGGTTAGAAAATGATAATTCAGCTAAACTTGTGAACGTGTCCGTGCAGCAGAGAGAGGGCGGCCAGAGAGAAAGACCCGCGAGCAGCCTGGTTTGAATCTGATTTGAACCATTTTGAATATATTTAGCCCCAGCTTTGCCTCTTGAATGCAACCCTGTCCAAAGTTTCAAAGTGACCGAAAAGTGACACCGTGCGCATTTTGTTTCTTATTAATCTTACACATTGACAGTCTTTGTTAAACAACAAGGCGTGCCCTTCACCAGGCGACATTTTCATATTTGTTAGACGCGGTGACCTGAAGTTCACCTCGGCCTTGGACTTAGTTTTTCTAAAAGGTCTATAACAGTGTCTTTTAGATAGCAGGGTGCTTTGCCCAGGTCACTACTTCTAAGGGAAAATTAAGAAAAAATCGCGGGAAAATGTTAACGTTATGGAATGTACCAACTGTATCTCCCCTTTGTTCTTGGGGAATCATAAAGCCCTCAGGACAGCTCCTCAGTTTAAACATTTGTTAGCTAGGAAACTAAAATGCTAAACGGTTGCTTTAAATAATCAGGATTGGGGCAGTGATTGCATGTTTGCCCCCAAGTTCATTATTTTAGAAAGCGTTGGCTTCGCTGGCACAGTATATGTTCTAGCAACTGGGCGTTGGGAGTGCTTTGCTTGTGCTATACAGGCATGGTTAAATAAACACACACAAAATGTGATTTGTGGTAGAATTTTAAATGAATGGTCTTTTGACCAGACATTCTACGCCAGAGACCAGTGTGTGCTGCTTTCAAAGACTGAACGTACAAAGGCAAGGAGGGATCGTTCATCTCAAATTAATAACTGCTCTGTTTCCCCTTTTTAAAAGGAATCACTTAAACAATAATTGAGATAGGTCAATATTTATTGAAGTTGCAGTTGAACTCTAAAAATATTCTCATTGAGATTTTTATTCTGAACTCTGAGGAATACATGGATTTGCAGCAAAATCTTTGTTTTGGTAAGGAAGAGAGTAGATTTCAGGTCCCTCATTTTATGGAATTTAGTGGTAGGAATAGCTTTTCGATCAGGGTGTATCAAAGACTCATTATTCGTGGGAAAAATCTGCCTACCACTTGTTAACAACATAGATACTTGATTATATATTTTAGATTGTTACCAAACACTTTGCTTTTTTTCAACAAATGATTACATGTTTTGTTAGTCTTTAAGGTGCTGCTAGACGATTCCTTGTTTTCTAGCAGCATAAGGTAATATATACTATCTCAAGTGGGAAAAATGTTCTTTTTAACATAAAATATGCTATATTAATAGCTTGTTACAAGTTGGCAACATCACTGTTTGATGAACAACGTACACACGGTGTGTGATGATAATTAGATATTTCCACCATGCTGTCAAATACAAACGAGTTAGGCATAATCTCCAATCATATCTCTCAATGATTTGAGATCAAACAGCTCACAATTTATTTTCAATAACTCCTGCTCTCTGCAATGATCCACTGGTATCACTGGCAAATAATTAATTTGTATCTAAAATAACTAGAGATATCGTATAAGTCATGTCTTTTTGTTCTTAATTCGGCTAAACATGGATATAAAGGAGGTACTTTTCCCCAGTTGACTTCCTCCTTATGGCCTTTCCCTCAATCCCCAGATCTTTTACATCTCAACATTTTGGATAAATGTTTCCTCTTAAAACATAGCACTCTTTCAATATCATTTCGATCTTTCTTTAGTTTTTACGCTGTTTATTTGGTTTATAATTACCTCCCAAAATGAAATTCTTTGTGTAGTACTGTGTGTTACTCTCAATTGACACAACGTCAGAGCTAAATCTTCAATACTGTTGCCGTTTTAAAGACAAGAAAAACTCTCGACATCTTGGAAATTGCTCTTTACACAAAGAAATTCAGCTTAAAAATACCCTGATACTGGTTTAACTATCAATTTCTGTTTGGGAGTATTTTCAGAAGGCTTTGATAGTCCTGGAAATTATGGAACTATCCAGCGCCGTCAGGGTTTTAGGCAGAATAATATCTGTTAGCATCAGATCGCCCGATCATTCTGAATGTTAGATTTGCACTTTCGGACTAAAAATATAACTGGCAGTATATCCTACAATATGTCCAGCGTAATCCAGTTTAAGGTTTACTAAAGAAATAATAGTAAAAACTCAGACGCTGTGAGGGTCGGTATACATGTTAATAGGTTTGCTCAGATCTTATCTTCCTGACATTTTGAAAAGTGAAAAGGCTTAACATTAAAACCTCTTAAGAAAGTTATTATATAAAAGTGTGTGAAACATTTTGTTACCTGACCCTGGTATTTAAACATACAGCCATGGACGCGTTTTGCTCTCCTGCATGTTTACCTGGTGCATCTGAGCCAGAGATATTTAGACATAAATGTGGCTGATAATTCAAGTTGAAATACAACATGTATTACTCTCGAAAAGAGGAATTTTCTATCCTTTCCTCGGTAATTGAGGTCATTCAACCACTAGAGTTCACCTGGAGTCCATACTGTGATACACGCTTAACTCAAAGCTATTTTATCTTTTGTGCTGATAGTCAAGATCTCGGCTATAACATTGACATCAAACTCTGTCTGGGCGGATGACTAAGAGTGGTGCAAAACGTAAACTTTTGACCCTCAACTTTTTGACCTGCAGTTGTAACGCCCTAGCCACAAAGATATACAAAAGCTATGCAGCTTCTTTTAGGAGCAAGAGACTTGGACTGTTTGTTTCAATGCTTCTGCTGTTTTCCCCCAACTTTTTTTAGTCGGTGGGCTTTTTTTTGTGTGTGTTGATATTGTTGTTGGGCTTTTTGTTTGGTTGTTTTGAGAAAACTGGATTTAAAAAAATAATCTCACCATTGTAAAGTGCTGTTAAACCAGTTTGCAAACTCTTTCGCCAGCGCTGGAGGGACTAGATTAACTAAAGACGCTATATGGGTACAATTGCAGGTGAAAGTCTGGTAAGTTCTGGACATGCAATTGGAAAGTATGTACTGCATAGCACTGGGGGGAAGATGTAGCTATATGTTGCTAAGTACTTAGTCATTTCGTCTTTATTTAAAAAATAAAGAAACTCTAATTGTTTGAGAAGCCTTGTCTAGGCAAACGAGTTGACTGTGAACTTGGTCTAAAGCGAGCTCTACTGGTGATTCCTAGGGTGTGCAGATTTATCTTTTCTGCATTTACTTAACCTGGCAGTGAACTGCACGGGCTGCCATTTATTATCCAGAGACAGACTTCACCTCAAGCAAGGACTGTTTCACAAAATTGCAATAATTACCCAATAACCTTCATAACAAATATTATTATTGAAAAGACATTTTTGGATCTAGGACAGAATCCGCATGTGGATTGGAAAGGGGGAACCTGTGCACATCTTGCCCCTCTGCATGCCACATGTGGGCCAGTGTACACGGGCAGCTATAGATGCATCTGACTCAGTTGGAACATAGAAATATTAGTAAGGATGCTTTCGTTTCTAAAGGAGAATGTTTTCAGATGGAAGCAGGCTACTGTATGAGCCGTACCTTTGTACTAGAGATAAAAAACCAAAACATTGAATTAGTGTCTCTCTGAAGCCTCTGGGTGAGAAAAAAGATAAGGTGGAAAACAGATTGCTTAGATTGGTCAGAAGGTTTATTTATGTATGTATTTAATTTATTAAATCTGTATCAGCTGTGAGGGGGAAATGCACTCCTCCAGTAGGTACGATTCGAAATAGAAAATCATGATCCGCCCAGATGAATCTGTTACAGTCAATTTCCCATAGAACAGAGGGAAGGCATTTAGGTTCTGACCCTTCTACAGACACACCCTGACTAAATGTAAGGAAATGGGCGAATAATACTTTCAGTACCTCTAATCATCAGTACGTGTGCAGGGTTCAGATAAAGCTACTCACCTAAAACTACATCTGACTTTCACAAGACATATACTTACAGTTTAGTGAAAGTTCAGGCTTATAAATTACTAGGTATAAGCACTAACGGGTTGCCTCCACTTTAATTGGCTTTATGCTTGGACCTGATACACTACACTAAAGAATTTCTTTCAAAGGATTAAGTTAATAATAGTTTAATACTAGGTAGATAATAATTTGCGATAGTTTCAGTAAAGTAAACCCAAGAGCACTAAATTAAAAATACTATAGAAAAATAATGGGTACAGAAAAGAGCAAAATCCTGATTCCAAATAAGCATTCTCCAGGAAGAAAACAGTTATTTCCAAACAAGGACATTAGGATTTGGGAAAGGTTTTAGAGTTTTTCATTTCGACTTTATCTAGAGTTTTCTGTTACAGTCTGGATTGTAAAATCTTAGCGCATTTCTGTTTTCAGAGGATTCAAGCTGTCATAGCTTTGCGAGGGTAAAAAGAGACGAGAAATATTTTATAATTATAGTAATTTTTTCAATCACATTTATTTTGTAGCTCAAGAGTGTGTCCCATAGCTCCTTATAGAATGTATTAGGATATTTTCACAATACCCACATATATCCACACTGCATTTTATATCTAGCATGCTCGAGAAGCTAAAATGCATAGAATTTCATGTCGGTAGGAAATTATTTTTCTTCCTTCACTGACAATTCACAACCTCAGATGACATAAAGATTCCTTTAAAAAATTAAGTAAATTTGCCTTGTGATGGATATTCTGTTCTCATAATGGAGCTAAGGAACTGAGATAATCAAACTATTATCTTTAGTTTTAATCTATGAAATAGCAAATACAAGGTGTTTTTCTTCTGAAAAGCCACCAATCTATGAAAGAAGCTTGAAACTAGCTTATGTGTTATTTTTGCCATTAAACATTGGGTATTATGACATACAATTAAATTCATTCCTATCAAATATAACTTTTCTGTATTCCTAATATTATATTTGCATACCATGAAACTGCCAACTTCTTATTATGGGACTTATTCTAGTTTGTACTTTGGCTATAAAGTACAATGAAGAATGCACTCTTAGAGTCTAGTTCTTTTCCATTTTACTATAGAAATGATATGCAAATGTCTTTATTTAGTGGTCATAGAGACTAAAACACAAACTAAATCTAAAACTTTTTACCTTATGTTTGAGATTAACTCAAAACATAGAAGAGTTTGTAACCTGCCATACCTCTTGGAGTAGTCAGAGGAGTTAACGTTGCATGTATGGTATTGCTTTATCACAGTATAACCCTGATTATTTAAAAAAAAAAAACCAAAGGTAGAATGAATGTTCTACTTCATTATTAGACCTCGTGGAGGTATTATGCTAGAGTAAAGCAAGTAATAATCTGGCTAAGTCTCCTGAACTCTAACATCTTATTGCCAGTCAGATAATAGGTTTAGTTCTGATCTAGTAAAAAATGGACAATACTCAAAAGAGAATGAAACGTAGCAAAATAAAGCTACAAATCATCTAGTGACAAACAATTCAGTTGTTCTTTTAACTCGAATTTATGACATGGCAGGAAAAACAACATCGTTGCACTGATGCTTTGAAGAAATCTGTTGATCTAGTGTACTCCAAAATGACCAAACCTTAGTAGGTAGGTAGGTAGGTAGGTAGATAGATAGTCAAAGTTTGTATTTAAATCTTGTGGGCCTAATCTTCAAACCTTTACTCAATTTAGCAACCGCCCCTATCAGCCCAATGAGTCCGAGTGGGTTCAGTGAGACAACTCATTCAAGCAATGATCTAGCGAGTGAAGATTTTAAGGATCTGGCTCTAATTCTACAAAGGAGAGAGAGAGAGAGAGAGAGAAAGTGAAAGTTCCTTTCGCCCCTTCATTCAGCCCTGGAAATTCAAAGACTAAAGTAAAATCCGGCCATAAAGTTTACTGCTGAGTAATCACACTCTGGTGAGAATAGTCTCCTTAAAAAGAATGTTGAAGTAAACACGCAGCTGGGGCCTACCTCACAATTGCCAGCCAGTAATATCTGGAGAGGCGCGGTTATTTAGAACTGTCCATATTCTAGTCTGTATTTCATAATTTGCAGCACTCTGATCTGTGGTAGCTTGCATTAACGTTCCAAGTTACAGTCAATGCGTTCTCTTAGCAAAACAGTGGAAATACAACAAATACATACCGTTTCTGCAAAAAGGTAGACAAAGTTGTAAGTGGCTGTGAGCACCGGCACACTGCGTTTACACGTCCGGCTACAGTCATATAAAATAGCTATGTCTATAAAATATTAGGAAAGAGGAATCCTAGAAAATTCCATCTATGCCATTTTAATGCTTGCTCTGGTGTACAAAATATTTTCCAGTCCAAAGGTAACTGCCACATTGGCCCACCTACTGGTGACCATGCCTCTATAAGGCACTTCACAGAGAAAATCAAGCCATTTTAGTCCCCTTTTAAAAAATCGCGTGTAGTATCGGATCTTTGCTAAACTGGAAAGTCTATGGCGCAAAGGAAGTAATTATCTTCTGCGGTAGTCAAAGTAATTAAAGTCAGGCCTCAAAATCCATCTCTGCCAACGACGCTTATTGTGGTTTAAGTTGATTTGATTGTTAAAATATAGAGCTAGCTGCTGAGCGTTGGCATCAGAGAGGGGAAACTTTTCAACGAAATCTGTATCCTGAGGAGATAATGTTGCATTTTTTAATTCAATGTGACAGTCCTGAAAGGATCAAGCCAGAGCGAGTCCAGTTCTCCACTGTACAAATAAACTTTAAGGAACTTGTGCACAAAACTTACCTTTACTTGTAAGGAGCCATTTTTCATAGAATACTGAGAACTTGTGGTTTGGATACTTCTGTACCTAAAACTGACAATTTGAATGACCGGGAGGCACACGTAGCCTGCAAAAGAATCAAATGAAGTCCAGCGTCAGCAAGATTATATGTTATGTGGTATATAATGTTGGATGTCAACTCCCCAAAACCATAAAACTTACTTTAATGGCACCACGTGACTTTTTATAGCCAGTGAGCCTATCTGTCTGTGCTATGGATGATTTTACGATCTAATTCATAGACAAAACCCTATTCATTTGGCACCCAAATGTCATATAGCCGGAACTGGGGCTTATAAAGTTTACTGTTTTATAACTTTTAAGGGAAGGCACCAGTGTAACCAGTCAGTAAATGTGCAAATCTCTAGTTGCTCTTAGAAGCTCAGAAGAGTTAACCATTCAAGCTCTGATGGGGTAAGTAACATTACATTTATAGAAAACTAATTGTAGCGAAAAAACAAGTAGCTTTAAAGGGTGAAGAGTGGGAAGGTGGCGGCTATAGGGTGTTGCTTATAGACGCAAAGATCTCTGATGTGGCTGTCCTGCAAATATATTTAATTAAAGCACACGAGTAATTATAGAGCCAGGCAAACACGCTCTGGGGTTGAGAGTGCATTTTAACAAAGCACATGTTTTTCAACAATCACCAGCCAGCTACCAGTTTATTCACCCACAGAGAGTGCTGATTGTGGTTCTGCAATGCAGTTTTCCACCTAACTAGAAACCATTAAGGAGGAACTTATGGTCAAAGTTTCAATTAAAAGGATTGCTATCGGATAATTGCACTTCTATCATTTGCAAAGCGTAGCATAAGGTCCTATCCAGGTAAAATCTTACCCATTCTGCACTGCTGACGGGGAAGAAAGTAGCAAATCAGGAAGTACAGCTTCCAAATCAGACCACGAGAACTTACAATAGAAAGTTTATTTATTTATTTTTGTCTGTTTGTTTCCAGTCAGGTTTAAAAAAAACAAAAAACAAAAACCAAACAAAAAAAAAACAAATACAAAAAAATTTGATCACAGTTTGCTCAGACAGCCAGACTTGGACTATATTTGTAACTTTGTTCACAAAACCATACATTACTGAAGCTGCGCTTAATAAGAGCCACTTCTAGGAGTTCGTGCAAAGAGTCATACAAAGGCACAGCAAAGGACATACTGCTTGGGATCACAGTTTTCGTCACAGATTCACTATTCACTACACGCAGGACAAGTTCAGTTGTATTTCATCATCTCACCTCTACAACAGCATGAATTACACAAGAATTATATAGGTAGTTCGAATAAAAATATTTTAACAGCTTGGAGCTATACAGTTATTAACACGTAAACACACATGCACAAGTTAAGCAAATTGAGTGCAACACATAACATTGGTACTAAAGGAGGGGGGATTCTCTCTCTTTTTTTACAGTTACTTCAAGTAACACAGCTCGCTTCATATAAATAAGTTAAAACATCTAAATTGTCAAGACAAAGCCATTCAAGACAAAGAAATGTAGGGGAAGCAGGTCTACTTATACACGCGATAGAATGGTCAGAAACAGGCTCATGATTAAAAGATGAATTAGGGCGACAAGAACAAGGTTTCTTCACAGAAGTAACACAAGGAAGTTTTAGAAAGTCAACTTAGTACTGACATTCTACGCAGGGTCAACTAATACTGCCCAGTACTTTTTTAATTGATCAATTTCTTAAGGACGAAAAGCCCCTCCTGCAGCTGCCATACTCATGCTTTTCAGCTTATTATCCTTTTTCCATTTCATTCTCCTGTTTTGGAACCAGATCTTTATTTGTCTCTCTGAGAGGCAAAGAGCATGTGCTATTTCAATCCTTCTTCTGCGGGTCAGGTATCTATTGAAGTGAAATTCTTTTTCCAGCTCCAGGGTCTGATACCGGGTATAAGCAGTCCGAGCCCTTTTTCCTTCTGGTCCCCCTATGTTGTCTGGAACAGAAAAGGGAATGATTTAGACTCTCCACAGCGACCTGCTCCTGTGTTTCTAAAGCACCCCTCGGGCATCAGGACCGTTATTCTTGGTCCCATTTTTGTTTTGGATAAATGCTCAACAAGTCCTGCCTCTGTCCTGCCTCTCCCCCCCCCCCTTTTTTTGTGCTAGAGACATTTTTAGAAGAGCAAAGCAACAGAATCTTCAGCTAAGCTGATCACTGCATTGTGGCTGAGACTAGAGGGGGTTTCAGAGATAGGAGAGCAAAGCAAGGACACTGAGAACTGCCACGAGGTTTAGCTGTTGAAGGCTTTGTAACCAGCAACATCATCTCTGTTTCACAGTGAGAAGGGGCATGGCAAGTAATAATTTTATTTAAAAAAAATTACAGCGCAGAAGGCAAGCCCATAGCCCTCCCATGCCCCTCGGTCCTCACCCTTAGGGTTGTTTTTGTTCTGACTTCCTACCTGGGAAAACTCCCCTCCTCGCTCTTCGACTAAACTATTGTTTTATATATAATTAGTAACGCTGTTCCACTGGACAGTCCTCCTAATAAATTGCACACAATGCCAAGCACTAGTCCCATTTCCCCGTGTCA